ATTTTGAAAAAATAGTCTTTTTCAAGACTTTTACTGCTTGCTGTCTCTTCAAGACTCTTGCTGAAACTGCTGAGAATTGTTTTATCTTTCTTTCTATCTCTTGAAGGTTTGTCTTAAAAATGCCACGAGTAAAACGTCGAAATCATTCTGCTCAAATGAACAGCAAACGTTGGTGTAGTGATTCTGTAAATACATGTGTCACAGAAGAAAATATATTAGATCCTAACATCAGAATTATAAGCAGTTATTAAGTACTGAAAAGACTGGACATTCTGAAGTGAGAAATTTTATTGTTGTGAACTTTGAGCAAATCAGCAAAATGTTTATGAAACTAAAATGTCCAGACTGTGACAAACAAACTTTAAAGCTTGCACTTGGAAACAAGGTAGGATTTTCCTACTTGTTAAATTTAACCTGCAGTTCTTGCGCTGAAAAAGTTTGTGCTGTAGAAATGTCTAATGAAAGGCAATGTAATACTGTTCCGGATATTAATTTACGCATCACGCAGGTATTCTCTAATATTGTAAAAGGTTACTCTGCAATTGAAAAATTTTGTATGGTGTAGAAAATGTATCTTCTTTTTCATCGAGAACATATAGCAAATGCACTAAACTTTCTTCACACAGCCTACGGTATTGCTGCAGAGACTTTTCAGAGCGAAGTACATAGTGAAGTGAGAAATGCTTACGAAGCACCAACTGATGTTCCCGTTGTTGATATAAGTGTTTCATTTTTGATGGTAGCTGGTTGACCCGTGGGCATACATCTTTGATTGGCATAGCTTGTGCTATTGATATACTTACAGGTTATGTAATTGATTTTGAAGTCATGTGTAAGGTATGTCGCAACTGTTCTGTGGCAAAAAGAGAACTGTGAGAGTCAAGTACAGAGTATGACATTTGGTTTGAAGGTCATAGGAAGGATTGCAATATTAATCATTCTGGCTCATCAACTTCGATGGAAATGGAGGCAGCATTGATCCTCTGGGAAAGATCCCAAGAAATGGGATTTCGTTATTCCATATTATTGTCTGATGGTGATTGTAAAACCTTCAATTATCTAACAGAAAAAAATGTGTATGGGGATAAATTTGAAATAAAAAAAGGAGTGCATTAATCATGTCGGTAAAAGGTTGGGCACTGGTCTACGAAATGCTGTGAAGGAATCGAGAGCCCGTGGCATTTCATTAGGAGGAAAAGGCCATGGCACATTGAAAGAGGCAACAATTAAAAAGTTAGCTTTATACTACCAAAAAGCCATAGTACAAAACAAAGGCAATGTTTCTGCCATGAAAAAAGCAATATATGCTACTTTACATCACAGCATTTCGACAGACCAAAAACCTCAGCTTTCGAAATGTGCAATCGGTGCTGACTCATGGTGTTCTTACCAGTCCGCAAAAGCAAAAGGACAAAAACCAGGTCTGCATAAACAACATTCTGGGACTCCAATCAATGAAAGTTTTTTGCCACGCATCCTTTCTATTTATCAACGACTTGCTTCGAATTAACTTTTAGAACGGTGCATTAATTGCGGAACTGAAAACGCTAATGAAACCTTACACAACATGATTTGGTCGAAGTGTCCCAAAGAAATATTTGTGAGTAAAAACAGAGTGAAAAATGCCGTACTTGAAGCGATTTGTGAATTCAACAAAGGCACTCTACGTACTGTCAGAGAGACCCAAAAAGCATTAAATATACCTTTCGGGAAATGTTCTCATGATCTTGGTGGGATGCTAGAATCTCGTAAAAGATTATTCCGAATCAGACGGAAAAACACGAAATACCAGCATGCACGTGAATTAATAAAAAAGCTATTTTAAAAACAAAGAGATTAATTAAAAAAAGGGAAGGAGTTACATATGAATCAGGATATTTCTAAGTTGTTACAATAATATAATTTTTTTTTTTGTAAAATGTGTGCATATAAATATTTATAATTTAGGCATTTTTTATATTAATAATTTCATAATTTCAGTATTTGTTTATCATATATTTTTCATACAAATATATCATTTAAATATTATGTGAATCAAAAGATTTTAAAATTTCTGTTATAACAGAAAATTTTTTTCAACGTTTTCTTCGATTTTTCTTGATATTTATGTGTAATTATTACTGTGTAAAAATGTATCATTTATAGAAAATATGGGTTAAAATAATATGAAAATTCAATTATTTTAAAGTAAAATATATAACTTATGTTTTAAAATGGTATTTTAAGCTTATTTAAGCTTATAATAATTATTTTTTCAGAAGTATAACCTTTAAAATGGTTTTTCTCAGCTTGTGCTTTTTCGGTACATTATTGCATTCAAAATGCTGCTCCTTCCACAATTATTGACCAATCTTTTTAATTCTTTCTCTGTGTGTTATATATCATGCATGTAACAAAATTAGGGATCCATTTTGCTATAAACTGAATACTTTTTTTTAAAAAAATTAAAATGTAGAAGATATTGGGATTTTTGTTGAACTTTAGCATATCTATGAACATTTTATTTTTTTCTCTCTCCAGAACTAATTAAGTTATTGCAAAATCGATCCCTAAAGTTGTTTAAAACATCCTTAAGAATTTTACAAAAAATTGCATGTCAAAAATTTAATAAATACAGAAGGAGTAAGATTTTAAACCTTTCCAATTTTTTTTAAAAAAAATTCAATTTTTTAAAATTGTGGGAATAATATGTACAAAATTACACTTCATATTGTTTTATTGAATAGAAATATTATATGAAATGATAAAATATAATTTTTAAATGCATAAATAAAAAAGTTTTCTCAAAGGGTACCGAGTCCTCTTAGGGGCTTATAATTACCCTAGAGGTTAAAGTAAGGTATTCTTAGGAAAATGAAAATCTGTACCATTTGAAAACGTAAAAATCTCAAATGGTCAAAAAAATAAGATTTCAGCTTTCAAACACCCCTTAATTACATGAAATAATATTAAAAATTTCTTAAAACTAAACCCTCTCTACTGAGAACAGTAGCCCTGCAATTGTTTAGTTATTACAATTATTATATACATTTTATACAGCGGTGTCGAAACGACACCGGCGGACGTTTAAGGTTAATCGAAATACCGGACGTTCTAGTTTTAACGAGATAATGAAAATTTCTTTTTCTCCTACCCTACATACTTTTCCATCGTGGTTGCACTTTGCATCGTTCTCCTGTGTTTTCAGGTAGTGGAAATAAGTCTAAGTGTGTGCCCGAGCATCAGTAATGACAAATCAAACTGATGACGATAAATTCATCGGTTTAGTAATCCCTCAGGATATTTTGGTTCGCTTGCTGGAAGGATTGTTGGAGGCCCTTGGCCTTTGAGCTATCCTCGGAGGAGGTTCCTCACCCTGAATACTCTCAGAGGAAGAAACAATCAAATTTTGTAATGAAATAAAAATTGTGTATAATATCCTCATCAATGTATGTTCTTTAATTTAATTTCTTTTTCAATTCCTACTATTAGTTCACAATCTCCATACACACACACATATACAGTCGGACCACTATATAACGAAGTCGCTAAATCCTGGGAAAAAGTTCGTTATATGAAAAATTCATTACATAGAGGTTCATCTTTTAATATACTTCATAAACCGCATAAAACAAATTTTAAATTCATAAACACTGTATATTAAAAAAAGTAAGTATTCACACCTTTTTTAAACTAATATATGTTTACTTTATATATCTTACCCATCAAAAAGAAAGAAAAACTGCTAGGAAAACAAGAAAAAAGAATGCCGAAGAGTTCACTGTATCTTCAGTAAGAAAATAATTTTATACTGAAATTAATGAATTTTTAGGACATTTTATAACAATAAGCATATAAGGAACATTAGCCCTTAACTCCCCAATGGTTTAATTTTCTATGAAAAAATTATATCAGCTAGTTCTCAAGTAATAATAAAAGGGATATATATATATATATGTATATAAATTAAGCTGTTTTAAATTGAATTTCAGTCATTTTTTGTTTGTTGCAGAAGTGCAACATTGCGCATTAGTTCTGTAAATTACAAAACTTTTTTTATATGAGGATTTTATTATTCATCATAAAATTTTTTTAATATCTTACCTGGTTATTTATTTCGTCAATAAACAAGAGGAAGCATAAAATATAATGGATTCTTTTTATAGCAAAAACACAGTTCTGTAGGCATCAGAGATTTTTATAATTGTTGGGATTTCTGGAAAATATGCACTTCCATCTAGTGACAAAATTAGCATGTATTTCGTTGCAGTAATCCTTTTTTCTCAGTTAAGTGATTTGTAGGTAATTAAAAAAATATTGAGTCTGTTAAATTAAAATATATCATATGTTGCAGAAATGCAACAATGGGAAGTTAAGGGTTAAACATACATTATTTTATAATTAGAACACGGGGACACGAGTTCACTTCACTGAGAGTGAAAGAGGATATCGACGATGTTTCTACAGAACTGGTCAATGGGGGTTAAACGTTGCACTTCTTGGATGAAGCGTCTAGAACTCTACTGCTCTCGGTGAGTTAAGATCTAATAAAACCAGTTCAAGTTTTATGACCACCCTAAAATGTGTTAAAGATAGTATAACTTGAAATTTTTCCAGAAATACTTTAAAAAAAGGGAGAACAAAAATTGAATTACAAAAGAAAAAATTCCTTATATAGAAGATGCACGTCGCTATAGAGGTTATTTTACGAAGGAAATCGTGAAATGTTCAAGGTTCTAGAAAAAGGTTCGCTATATAGAAAAATTCACTGTATAGAGGTTCGCTATATAGAGATTCGATTGTATATATATATCTTTTTCTAATTTGCAATCGTTAATAAAATAATTTTTAATCATCCACTCAAGTTCAAATACATTTTTTAAAACTTGTAATGGATTACACTTGATGTGTAAAACACCTTTTTCAAATATTAACTCCTTAATTAAATTAAAAAATGAATAAATAGTAAAAAACAAATATTACAGACAACAGCACATATAGAAATTCAAATCATTCCTTGTGTCCCTGTAGCACAATGGATTGTTTGTTGGACTTCTAATCCAAAGGTCGTGGTTTCGAATACCCCTGGAATGGCCTAATTTCTGACAAGTCATTTCTTTTTTTCTTTTACTATACTATTTTATTAGAATAATTAAATTTAAGTAATTAATAACTAATAACAAAAAAAAAATAGTTTAACACCGCATATAGAAAGGAAGTGGAAAATTGCAAGGAAATTCGCTTTCTGTTTTGTCACTTAATATTGTGATTCTGACATGTATATACATATTTATATTAATTGTAACTGTTTATTAAAAAATAACTAAAATAATTTTTTTTATTGAGCTAAGCAGGAATTGACTCAATTTGTTTTATATTACTTGTTAATTTAAAAGGAAATTTTATATGTGGAAGAAACAAACCATTCGCAATGATTATGGCAAAACTAAATTTTGGCAATTTAAATTATAGCTGATTAAATTTAAGAATACAGAACACAACAAAAATCAATTTAAAAAAATGACCAAGGGTTACAAATAAACTTAACTCCATGTGTGTATGAGTTTTACACTCTAGAAACCCTAGCTCTATTCCATTAAAAATGAATATGAGTTTCACTGATGTTTTCAGTGTGTAAAATGGTCAGTTCCTTGGTTGATATTCTTGATAAATATGTTCGCTTTAAGACTGTCTTCGCCTTGTATGAAAAGCATGATTTAAAGTTAACCCCGTAACTGCCGCCTGTGTATAAGCAAGTAAAATTAAATTAGATCTAAAGTTAAATCCCCTATACACCACTTAAATTTTACATATTTTCCGTTACATCTTCAAGTCTAAAAACTAAACACCCAATTACATCAGAGCAGCCAATCAAATGCCAGTTCACTTTTCAACATCGTCAAATCACAAGGAACCTTCACAGCTACTACAGAATGAACTTTTCCAACTTTGACTTCTAGCGTTGGGGTGACTGTTGGAGCTCTTAGTCCTTCCGGACTCTAATCTCCTATCCTGGAATTTAAGATGACTGTACAGAATTTTACCATTGCTTTTTTTAGAAAAGTATTAATTTAAATGAATAATAAATATGGGTAGATCTAGAATATATAAGAATTTAATGGGTGTAAAACATTTAAATTATATTAAAAAGAGAATAAAAAGCTCTTTTAAGAGCTAGACAATCAAAGTTTGAAGCGTCCATTAAGTGGGCGGAGTTACGTTGGCCAATCGGGTTGCAGCAAGAACCGAGATCAGAAAGTGCGGGAAAAATTTTCTGGAGGTGGGAACATGGGCTGAAGAATGAAAGAAAGCATTTTTATTGGCCGAGCTAGGGGTACGGTTAATGGGGTATAAGACATTGCTAGAAATGGTAGCCAATCAGAGCAATCTGAGATTAAACAGAGTTGGATCGCAGTGAACTTTGACTTTCAATTAACCGCACCTCTCTCCTACGTCACAACGAAAGCCAGGCTGTTTCTCCTCATCAAGGACATTTAACTCTCCCAGGCACCATTAGCATTTATAATATGGGATGGAGGCTCGCTTCGCGAGCCATATGCCCAGCGACACTCAGCGATACTCAAACACCCAATTAATTCACAAGGCAGCCTTTCAGCCATTCCAGGATGGACTTTTTCACCACTTTGACTTCGTTTCCAAGTGCCTCATAGCCACGCCCTCTCTCCATATATCAACGACGAATCCGGTTGTTCCTTCTCCACCAAGGACTGCTATTCCATCAGGCGCCATTAACAACTATGATATGGGATGGAGGCTCGCTCAGCGAGCCATATGCCCAGCGACAGATAGCGACCCAATTAATTCTCGGAACTGATAGTCCAAACAGAACACTTCTAATCCCAGATCATATTTTTTTATAGCCCCATATATCATCTTTAACTTTAAAGTATAACACATAAACTAAAAATGTCACTTAACAGTTCAGGAAATAAGAGGCGAGCCCCTTAGACTTCACTTGGAGTTCGCGTTCTCTCTGTGTAACATGTCTCGAGTGCTAGATGAATAAAACTGTTTTTTAATAAAATAGACATAGATAATGTCAAATTGCTATCAACAGCTTTGAGGCATACACTGAAACATATTTTATTACATTAACATTAAATAAAAGATAAATCATGCCGAAATTTAGCATAGAATCGTTGAGAAAAATGAAACAGTTTTTATTTAACTCAATTCAAAGAGAAAAAGCAGAAAAGAAACACACATTAAGTTTCAAAAATTAAAATGAATTTGTTGAAAGTATGTTTTTAGAGATATATTGGAAATATAAACTCTACAAGTAATATAATATATATATATATATATATATATATATATATATATATATATATATATATATATATATATATATATATATATATATATATATTTAGTCAATTACTACTTAGATGAAACAAAAATTTTATTTTAGATACTTTTTATTAAATAGCTACAATTAATATAAATATTTATATACATATGACAGATTCACAACATAAAGTTGTAATTAATTTTTATTCATTATCGTTAAAGTATCGTATTGTCTTTCAAGACAATCGTGTATATAAAATTTCCCTTCAAATGAATGCTTTAAAACGTGAGAAAAAAAACCTTCTCAAATTTTGACATAAGTCGTCAACGTGGCTGCATTTGTAATTATTTAAATAATTAGTTTTAATGAATTAGTTTTTAATACTTATAATTAAATTATTGTATTGTCATCCAAAATAATCATGTATATAAAATTTCAGCTCAATTGAGCGCTTTAAAATGCCTTTTATTAACGACTGAAAATTCCACCAATATAAATAAATAAATAGAGAGTGTGAGTTAATAGTAGGAATTGAAAAAAGCTTGGTGTTGGCTTGAAACATGACATATATATGCTTCTCGCTCAACCGGTACGTCAAATGTTCCGGATATATATGTATACAGTCGACTCTTGCTAATTCAAACTTTCGATAACATGAACCTCTCGCTAATTCGAAGTATATGCTCACAGTCCCTAGAAAACTCTCGCTATTTCGATATCGAACTAAAACAATACGTTTTGGTGCACTCAGTATTTTGAAGTAAAATCTGTGTCTGGCCAGACTATAACATTGGATATAATTCGAAATTATCTCATATAACTCTCGACAATTCGAATACTCACTATCATGTAGAAGCCAGTAGCAAACAGGTTGGAGCTTACATGTTTTGTATTGTATTGTCTCTGCGTTCAACCCTGTAAAGTATCCCCTTTGATGACCCCATCTCTCTGCTAACCCTTCTTTATGTTTCTCGGTTCCTCAGGCAAAAAGACACGTTTATTTATTTCCTTCTTGAAGTGGACAATAGAGCGGCCTCAACTGTTGTCAGCCGCCCATATCTTTTGCTTAATACGTGGTCTTGTTAGAAATGTGTTCAGAAAGGATGGTCTACTATTACGAAGAAGAGATGAGTACGATTGTGTATTTTACTTCGTAGTGACATGCAGATTTATGACTCATCTGTGTGAATTATACCATGTGGCACTAAATAGGGAATGGGCCGGACTAGACCCTGCCTTTAAGAACCAAGGTTGTTGGGAATAATTACTGAGGGAACCGTGTTCGAAATGATTTTATTTCCAATGAAGAATGGAAGATATTTGGATGTGAATGAAGGAGGTTCTAGAGGTAAAGAAAAATAGTTTTTCCTATTTTAATGAAAAATTCTATGTTGGAGGGACCAACGATTTTTTCATTGGTTTCTACAATTTTGAATTATCGAGAGTCGACTGTACGTCTTTCCAAAATACGATCCCTTTTTCCTGTGTTGTGATCAGTAAAAATTACAGTGGGTGATCGGTTAACGAACATAATCCGTTCCAAGACTATGTTCGCTATCCGAATTGTTCGTTAACTGTTCATCGATTCAACATAGCCTTTTATGTGAAATCGATTAATTCGTTCTGGAGACCCTAAAAAGTAGATTTTAAAAAATGTATAAATTCTTAGTAAGTTTTTAAAAAAATAATACATACATATTAATCTTGCATATTAGTCTTGCATATTAATCAGTCCTTTTCATTTTTTGCTTATGGGGCGTTGAAGAACATGTTCAATGTCGATTGTTTTTCTATCTTTTAAAGGATTTTCCGGAAGTAATTAATAGCATTGTCGTTGTAAAGATCCCCAACCCTACTGACATCAGCTTGGTTTGGGTGCCATTCGAAGACCATTGCTCTGACAGCATCCCACTTTTTAAAAAGATCTTTAATGGCAGATGTCGGCATTGGTCCTCTTTCGTCTTCTTGTTCAGAAGGAGACCCATTTCGTTGTGTTTCTTGGTGTTCTTCATTCAAAATTTCTTTGAGTTCTTCTATCGTCAGTTCATCTTCATGTCCCATTATGCGCTCTTCTATGTCATCCTCGTTCACCTCCAATTCCAGATCTCTAGCAGTTGTCAAAATTTCATCCATAATTTCAGGGGTGTATCCCCGATCACCTCCAAATATGTGTTCGTTGTCCAAACACAAAAAATCTTTCTTGAAAGTGTTCGTTATCCGGACACAAAAATATTTCGTGAAAGTGTTCGTTAAACAATCACCCACTGTATACCGAAAGCTTTGGAATGCAATAAAATGACCTTGAGGATGTTTAAGGAGGATTTGCTTACTTATTTATGCCTTTTACTTTCCTTTCAGTTCACCGCATACATGCGCTTATGTGAAAAACGATGGGATTGGGCAGATTAGTCGGCAAAGGCATTTTATCCCCTTGTCTTTGTTTTCTAAGCATTTATATATTGTCGTAATTCATAAATTTTTAAATAAAATACTGTTTTTTAAGTAATAAAATTCCTCATTTTTCAATTTGATTCCCTTTTCTTTAGAAAAAATTTATTTCACAAAAACAGTTGTTTCATTATTATTTGGATTAAATGTTTTTTCGAATGACCTGTAATTTCATGGTATTATTTTTTTTAAAAAAAGTTATGAACCTTCAAATTATCAAAAATAGGTTTTTACTAAAATATTTTCAGAATTTTCAGAAATAAAAACAGACATGAAAAAAATTAAATTAAAGTAAATAAAATCTTAAAACAAATCAATAATATTGAACTCTTT